CAGAGTCGACTTGACAGCAACTATCTATCTGTTTAAGCTAAAGCAAAAGCCACTTGACTCCCTAAAATGGACTGAGCTGGATTCTAGAATGTACTTTCAATGTCTGGGTTTTAATGAATAAATAATCATATCTTTCTGGTAACTACCTGCATTGCAGTTGGCCACTGTATCCTGTCCATAGTCTGAAATGCTATTGTATGCCACTTTCACATCAGATGATTCAACAACTCATCCTACAAACAAAAGAAGAAGGAATACTACATTTTCAGGACATCCTCCTGATCTTAATAAGCAAAAGTGCCTTAGGGATGAAAATATAAATATCATGGGTTAATATCTCATGGCCTAATTACTTCTGCCCTTGGCCAAAAGGGTATGCTGAGAAGAGAAAAGCAGCCCTTGACATCTTGATCTGGCCTGATGCTAACAGTTCAGCCACAGTGTTGTCAGGAGCTAGCCTCGCTTTCACGGATAGGCCATGGTGTTATCCTGGAACATAAACAATCTCACAGAACACCACGGACAAGGTCACTCTAACCATGATTAAGTGAGAAAAAACCCAGGACCACTTCATAATCTTTTCTAAGCTCAGACAGAAAACAAGGCCACAGTGCAAAATACAGAAATAACAATACTAATATCCTCCTCTGCAAGGTAATGAGTGACTACTGCTTCTTTACCAATCACAGCTTCAGTCACGCTTCATTCCCGTCAACTTCTAGATAAGGTATTGGGGCACCAGCCACCCATACATCCCTAGACAACAGAGACTATGCACACATGTAGAGGACACCTGAGTGTACCCGGCAGAAAGTTAAAGCAAAGGCTGACCTGAAAGTGGCCTAAGGTCTGAATGTACTACCCAGGCCCAACAGATCCACCAGCAGAGAGTAGAAGCCAAAGTGTTTCAGCACAACCTCTGTCCAATTTTGGCTTTATGCTAAGTTATGCAGACACAGGCAACTCAACAGACCAAAAAAAAAAAAAAGAAAAAAAACTGAGCAGAGACATCAATAGACACACACTGTGAGGGAAAAAGACCTCACACATTTAATCCAGGCAACTTACTATACAAACAAGCAAACAAAGCCAAGAGCAACTCTCAAAATGGAAAATAAGAATCGGCATGCTCTGCCACTGGGCCGCTTCGAGGCCTGCCGCTGTCTTCAGTGGTACAGCCCTTGATCCATGTTACAGCTCTTTTAAGAGGTTCCTTGCCTCCTTTCTCTCTGTTTCTTCTCTCTTCTGCTTCTGTCTGCTTCCTATCTTCCTGCTTCTTTCTGTCTGAAAAATCTCTGTGGTGTTGTCTGCATATATACACAACTCCTTATCAATTTCAAGCCATGGCCCCTTCCAGCAGGGGGCAACAAACTGACCAATTCCCTCTCTTCATTTGCATAGTAGCCTGTAGTCATCATATTTGCATAGTCCATAGTCACTTCATTTGCATAGTACATTGACCAATCCCTGCAAGGTGCATACCAATCACAGGGCAGGCTGCAGCTGGGGACCAAACAAACAGTATCAAACCAAATTGTTTACAGCTTACCCAGGAAATATAACAAACCCTGTGGGTAGAAAACTAGGCCAAAGGTAACTTACTCTTCAGGGCTTAGGGGAAAAACCTCTCAAGTTGTTTTTCCAAAGAACCAAGGCAAAATGTCACATAAAGGAACTCATTTCACCAGAGACATACATATAAAGTGTGACTATATTTAGAAAAAAATACTTCAAAGTAGATTACAAATATATTCGAAAAAAATAGAAAACCCTGATGAAATAATTTAAAGAAAGGTATGAAGAAAATGACTTAGTGAATAAAGAATCTCAATAAAGAAATAGAAATTATTAAAAACAACCAAATTAAAATCTGGAGTTGAAAAGTACAACATCTGTGTAAGAATGGCATGGTGCCAACTGTAAAATGGTGGAGGCAAGGGCATCTGACCTCCTCGTTTAACTTCACAAGGGGGCAAAGAGACTCATAATCAGCATCAGCCCAAAACAGTTTCCTATGAAGTGAAGGTCAGACATACCTCCTCTCTCTAACCTTTTCACCAATTCTGACACCAACACCAGCCATCCCACCCACGGCACTCTCTACTCTGCTGGGTTCAATAATTCGTTGCAATGGCCACACATAACTCACAGACAATACTCATAGTTATGGGGTTTATTAGGGAAGTAACAGAATACAGTTCTTGGATCAGGACAGCTTCTTCTCAGCCATGCTCGCAGGCAGGCCTCTCTTAGTCCTTGGCCCCTCTGCCACTGCCTGCTCGGGAAAGTGTTACAAAGGTCTTTAGCTCCAGCAATAAGTACCTGGAGGCACCCCACCCCACCAGTAAGCCTCAGCCCAAAGGCGCTCAGCTCTCTCACTCCGTAGGCCGGGAAGCCTACTGCGCCGTCTTCTGCTGGTCTCCTGGTTCTGCTGCCACCATGTCTGTCACTGCTTCTCGCCATCTCCAGTGTTACAGCTCTCTTGCTCTGTCTCTTGGGTCCAGGAGGTTGCCAGCACAGGGATACCGGGTCCAAAGGACATGCTCCACTCCTGTCCCTTCTGCTTGGTGGTAGTTAGGTCCCCTTCTGCCCTGGGATTGGCTCTCTTTTAAGCCTAGCTGGATGGCAAAACTGACTAATCCCCTCATTAGGGTTCCATACATCTGATTTGCATGGTCCTACCACTGCAGGTTTCCGTGCACATTATCAGCATCCTTAGCACGCTGTTCAATCCCCTTGGTGGGCCACAAGTACCATATTTGCATGTCCCATCCAATCATTATATGGGAGTCACAAAGACTATGGCTAGAAGGGTCATATTAATAATTCAGTGTATTATAACCTGAAATAAAAATTTCAATACAGAGGTTCAACAGCAGATGTGAGAAGGTAGAGGAAAAAATCAGTGAACTTAAAGACAGATCAATAGAAATTATCTAATCTGAAAAACAGAAAAAAAAAATTAAATATGAAAAGCATCTCAGAGACCTGTGGGAAAATATCAAGCATACCAAAATATGTGTGATAAAAGTCCTAGGAAAAAAAGGGAAGAGAGAAAGAGACAGAAAAAATGTTTGAAGAAATAATAACCAAAACCATCCTGAATTTGATGAAAAACATTAATCTACAGATTCATGATCAACAAACCTCAAGTAGGATAAACCCAAAGACACTCACATCTAGACAATTCATAGCTGAGACTGCTGAACTCTTGAAAGCAGCAAGAGTAAAATTATTCATCACATATAAGGAAACAACACAATTAATAACTAACTTCTCATCAGAAACAATGGAGGCCAGAGGCTGTGAAATTGCATATTCAAAGCATTAAAATAAAAAAAAATGAAAAAGGTCAACCAACAATTTTATATTCAGGAAAACTATTCTGTAAAACAAAGATAAAGGTAGGAGGTAGAACAGAAGCACTAAACACATTATTAGGCCAATTAACCGGGATGTCCCATGAAACCATGACTCTAAACCTCCAAACTGAGGAATCTAATCCTATGAGAATTTTGGTTGTATATAAGCAGCCTTAGTAGCTATTCTTTTTTGTTGTTGTTGCTGTTGTAAATATATACATCACATAACTTTTACCAATTCAGCTTTTTACAGGTGTACAACTTATTGACAGCACTTACAATAATCAGCTGTTTTACCCTTACCCTCAATTGATGCGATTGGAACTGTGCTCTAAAGGTGCTATACTGGTTGACAGTGGCACGAAGAGGAAGAGCCCGGCCCAGATAGATGAGGTGGCAGCCAGGAGAAGGCAGGGAACATTTCTGCTCCGAGAGCTGCACCGGTAGGGGATATCTACTCCAAGGGCAGGGCTGTCCTGGGCAAGAGCTGTCTTGACTGCAGAAGGGAGGGACGTGCCCTCTGCTTCGGGGCCTTTCCAGACTTTACCCATGTACCTTTTACTGATGCTGCCTGTTATTTCTAGTTGTATCTTGCCTGGTTATATCTTGTTACTATCCTAATAAACCACATAACCCAACTGTGAGTATAGTCTATGAGCTATGTGAAACGTTACAGTGAATTATCAAGCCCAGTAGAGAAAGAGTGCCATGGGAAGAACAGCTGGAGTCAGAAATAATGCAAAAAATGGAAAGCAGAGATATACTTGACCTCTGCCTCACAGGAATCAGCTTTATGCTGATTCTGATTTGCAAAATTATCCTTTCAGTCCCCTTAGATAAGCTGCCCAATTCCTTCTAAGGGTCACTCATTAGGGTTATTTCAGTGGAAAAGTCAGGAACCACTTCCAAAAGCAATTCCTGCTTAAGAGAATGCTACCCTTGTCCAAAGTTTCTGACATCCAGTTGCATAGCTGAATTAGTTTCCCCTTACCTGTTAGTGGAAACCCTGCTGGCATAGTGGTTAAGTGCTACAGCTGCTAACCAAAAGGTCAGCAGTTCAAATCCACCAGATGCTCCTTGGAAACTCTATGGGGCAGTTCTACTCTGTCCTATAAGGTCACTATGAGTCGGAATTGACTCGACGGCAAAGGGTTTGGTTTTTTGTTTTTGTTTTTTACCTGTTAGTGCATCACAGAGCCTTGGTAATAAAACTTAGTCACTAGAACCAGAAATCCTCCTTCTGGAAAAAGGTCCAGCTGCTGAAATATTGATCTTGGCCACAGGCCAAGATATTCAGGCATAGACAGCACTGTAGATGTGCAGCTGGCAGCTTTTATCTTACTGATGGAATGACTTGTAAGATGGTAATGCCGTCCTTACAATCACTCATGTCTATTATTTGACTATTAACTTACTTGGTAACAGCAACTGTGTATGTTCTTAATATCTGCCTCAAACAGCTCTTAAGAGTATTATGCACATTGTCATGTTCAAAAGACATCTGGCTAAACAGGTTTATCACAACAATACTTAACAATAGTTACCTTACAGAACTTTAATGCAACATTATGACAACCAAATTCCTAAGCAAAATAATGTAAACTTCAATAACATTTCTAGATTAAAATCAATGCTTACTTTTTTCTGTCATCTCAGTGCTTGACAAGTCCTCCGTTTTCTTGGAGTGCTTTCTTATGTTGATGCCCATAAGTGTACTTAGAAGTGAAAGTTCTGATTCTAAATGTCCAAGCTGTCTTCTCAGATCTTTTGAAAACTCCAATCCTTCAGACTCTGATTGGTATATATTTTTAAATGATTTTCTAGAAGGCAAATATCAGAAATAATCACTCAAACGAGGAAACCACTAATAAGTGTTTTATCTAATATATCCAATTTTCTTCATACCATTTTCATCTTATCCCTCTTACTCTCTTCCCATTAAAACTTCAAAAGAATTTTCTCAAAACCAGTGTGGCTACTAAGACAGTAAATTTTAATTTCAACATAATACAAACGTAGCCAAATTATTCTAACGTATTTCTACATAGTAGAAATACCATTGAAATAAATCATAACCAGAGCACTTTACAAAATTAAAATGTCAGTTCTAATCCAGGAATTTCCAACCAAAATTTTCTGATATCCTAAGATATCTCAAACTATTTTAAAAGATGTTTTGAAATTAAAAATCAAACCCAATTAGGTAACTTCAGTTTTTAAAATGAATAAATATCATAAAGCATTTTATAGTAAGAAGGAGTTTTCTCACAAAATCTAAAAATACAGAGGGCAAAAATTCCATAGGAATAAAACACAGCATAATCTCTTTAATAAACACTATAGCCAGATATTCCTCATGGAGAACATGTATTTCTATTTTCCTTTAAGAAAGAGTAAAATTGAGGGGCAGAGCCAAGATGGCAGACTAATCAGACGCACTAACCCCTCCCGCTACAACAAAGACCCAAAACACCAAGTAAAACAGATACACACGTCAATCCTGGAACCCTGAACCTCCAATGAAGGGACAAAGTATTAGACCGGAAGTCACTGAAGAGAAGAAACTGACAGAAAATAGGGAAGGAATCGAGATACGGAATGGAGGTTCCTGGCCAAATAGTATGACTCAGCGTGGCCATCTTGGAATAAAACCAACAACCCCACACCCAGAAAGGCCACTCCACAGAATCCCCAATAAGAGATACAGGTCAGCACGGACACACCCAGGGTTAAGTCCCCACGTTTGCTGGCTACAACTCAAGAAGGAGCCCAGACTTTCTCACCACTAACCACAGGAGCACGCTCCTACAACTCCCACCCCTCTGGTCAACAGCAGCTATAAATGCCCCATCCCGGCAACCCTGACTGCCAGGAACCACAGTACCAACCCACCCTATTGCCCTCCTCCACCTAGACCCCTCTGCCCCTGCCTTTGCACTCCCCTCCTAACTCCTCTTCTCCACCAGCTGCAGCCCTGAGGGGACCTAGCCCAAACCCCAGGCCCCTCCCTGCCAGCTCCAGACCCCTCCACCACCCACCACGGCCCCAAGAGGTCCAGGCCCACACCGTAGGCTCCTCCCTGCCGGATCTGGACACCTCCTGCCACCCAACACCGCCACGAGGGGACCTAGCCCAGACCCCAGCCCCCTCCCTGTCGGCTCTGGACCACCCTCCCCACCACTTCAAGCAGCCCAAAGGGAAACACTCTGGACTCTGGATTCTTCCCTGCCAACTCAGGATACCCCCAGCTGATCACAGTAGCCCCACTAGACCCCCAGCCTGGTTTACACTGCAGACAAACGGCCCATATCTGCCCATTCCACCCCTGCTGGACCTGCCCTGCTCTACCATAGCTGAGCAACCAGCCCTGCACACCCAGACAACGTGGTGAGAACTATCATGCCCACAGACAAGCAAGCAACAAAGCACACCCAGTCCACCTGCCCAGACATAACCAAACAAAACAAAACGCGGGACAAAACAAACAAACCTACAATCAATAAATAAAGAAAATAATACCTGAAACTCTCAGAGACAGCAGACAATATGAAAACATATTTAAAAAAAGGAAAAGATGGCTCTAGTAAGTGACCAGAATAATGCACCAGTTGATCTTCCAGCAGAAGAGAAGGCAATGGAACTACCTGATAGGGAATTCAAAAGTCTAATATTCAGGGCTCTCCAAGAGATTAGGAAAGAGATCAAGGAAAACGCAGACGAAACCATAGAAAATACTGACAAAATCAAGGAAAACATGGCTAACGCGATAGAAGAATTCAAGAAAGTAATATAAGAACAAAATGTCAAAATAAATAATTAGAAATCATAAAAATAATCACTAGAAATCCAAAAGATAATAAAATTTCAGAAATGGACAACACAATAGAACACAGAGAACTTCTCTGATCACAAAGCCATAAAGGTAGAAAATAATAACAGGAAGAGAAAAAAAACAGAAACTGAATAACACCTTGCTTAAAAACCACTGAGTAATAGAAAAAATAAAAGATGGAATAAGAAATTTCTAGACTCAAATGAGAACGAAAATACATCATACCAAAATCTTTGGGACACAGCAAAGGCAGTGCTCAGAGGTCAATTTATAGAAATAAGCACACAAATCCAAAAAGGAACAAAATCAAAACATTAGCCCTACAACTTGAACAAATAGAAAGGGAACCGTAAAAGAAGGCCAAAACCACCAGAAGAAAGGAAACAATAAAGATCAGAGCAGAAATAAATTAAATAGAACAGAAAAACAATAGAAAGAATCAACAAAGCCAAAAGTTGGTTCCTTGAAAGAACCACTGGCCAAACTGACAAAAGAAAAACAGGAGAGGAAGTAAATAAGAAATCAAGTAAGAGACGTTACAACAGACTCAACTGAAATAAAAATGATCATAATAGAGTACTATGAAAAACAACAAATATGAAAACCTAGAGGAAACAGACAAATTTCTACAAACACACTACCTACCTAAATTAACACAAACTGAGATAGAATATCTGAAAAGACCCATAACAAGAGAAAAAATTAAAAGGCAATTAAAAAAAACTCTCAATAAAAAAAGTCCTGGGCCAGATGGCTTCACTGGAGAATTCTACCAAACATTAAGAGAAGAGATTACACCAGTACTACTCAAACTATTTCAGAACATAGAAAAGGAAGGGATACTTCCGAATTCATTCTATGAAGCCAGTATAATCCTGATACCAAAATCAGGCAGAGACATCACAAAAAAAAGAAAATTACAGACCAATATCTTTCATGAATATAGATGTAAAAATTCTCAACAAAATTCTAGCAAATAGAATTCAGCACCATATAAAATAAATAAATACACCACGACCAAGTGACATTCATACCACGTATGGAAGGATGGGTCAACATTGGAAAATCAATCAACGTAATCCACCACATAAATAAAACAAAACAAAAGAAGAACATGAGCATCTCAATCGAAGCAAAAGAGGCATTCAGTAAAGTCCAACACCCATTTCTGATAAAAATTCTCAATAAGATAGGACTAGAAGGGAAATTCCTCAACATAATAAAGGGCATCTATACAAAACCAACAATCAACATCATTCTCAATGGAGAAAGGCTGAAAACACTTCCCCTGAGAATGAGAACGAGAACAAGACAAGGATGTCCTTTATCACCACTCCTATTCAATACTGGGTGGAATTCCTAGAAGAGCAATAAGGCAAGAAAAAGAAACAAAGGGCATTGAAATCGGTAAGGAAGAAGTAAAACTATCCCTATTGGTGGATGATATGATACTATACATAGAGAACCCTAAACACTCCACAAGAAAACTACTGGAACTAATAGAAAGATTCAGCAGAGTAGCAGGATACAAGATAAACATACAAAAATTAGTTGGATCCCTATACACTAATAAAGAGAACTACGAAAAGGAAATCAGCAAAGCAATACCATTTATAATAGCCCCTAAAAAAATAAAAGACTTAGGAATAAATCTAACTAACGTTGTAAAAGACCTATACAAAGAAAACTACAAAACACTACTGCAAAAAACCAAGAGACCTATGTAAATGGAAAATCATACCATGCTCATGGATAGGTACACTCGACACTGTGAAAATGTTAATTCTACCCAAAACAATCTACAAATACAATGCAATCCCCATCCAAATACCAACTGCATACTTTAACAAGATGGAAAAACTAATCATTAACTCTATATGGAAAGGAAACAGGCCCCAGAGAAGTAAAGCAGTATTGAAGAAAAACAAAGTAGGATGCTTCGCACTACCTGACCGCAGAACCTACTCTGCAGCTATGGTAGTCAAAACAGCTTGGTACTGGTGCAATGACAGACACATTGACCAGTGGAACAGAATGGAGAACCCATATGTAAATCCATCTACCTATGGACAGCTGATCTTTGACAAAGGACCAAAGGCTATTGAATGAGGAAGAGACAGTCTCTTTAACAAATGGTGCTGGCAAAACTGGATGTCCATCTGTAAAAAAAAAAAAAAAAGAAACAGGACCCATACCTCACACTATACACAAAAACTAATTCAAAATAGATCAAAGACCTAAATATAAAACCCAAAACTAAAAAGGTCATGGAAGAAAAAATAGGGTCAACACTAGGCGCCCGAATATACAACAGAAACAGGATACAAACCATAATTAACAATACAGAAACGCCAGAAGATAAGCTGGATAAATGGGATCTTCTAAAAATTAAACACTTATAGTTAAGCGTTTGGCTGGTAACCGAAAGGTCGGCAGTTCAAATCCACCAGTCATTGCTTGGAAACCCTATGGGGCAGTTATACTCTGTCCCATTGGGTCGCTATGAGTCAGAATCGACTCAACGGCAATGGTTTTTTGTTTGTTTTTTAATCTTCATCGAAAGACCTCACCAAAAGAGTAAAAAGGGAACTTACAAACTGGGGAAAAAAATTTGGCTATGACATAACCAACAAAGGTCTAATCTCTAAATTATATAGGAAAATCCAACACCCCTATAATAAAAAGACAAATAATCCAATTTAAAAATGCGCAAAGGATATGAACAGACACTTCATCAAAGAAGACATTCAGGTGGCTAACAGACACATGAGAAGATGCTCACAATCACTAGCCATTAGACAAATGCAAATCAAAACTACAAGGAGATATCATCTCACCCCAACATTACTGACACAAACCAAAAAAACAGAAAATAACAAATGTTGGAGAGGCTGCAGAGAGACTGGAACTCTTCTGCACTGCTGGTGGGAATGCAAAATAGTACATCAATTTCGGAAAATGATATGAAGATTCCTTAAAAAGCTAAAA